AGACAAAATGGGGCATCACAGGGAAAGGGTTGACCAGTTGTTCACAAGGAAAGAAAGGCAGCCAGACATATATTGATTGAGGAGGGAACCATCAAACAACTTAGAGGCGAGGAGATCTCACACTAAGAAGAATCTTTAGTCTTCCATTTCGTGGGAGAGGATGGCCCACCCTAAAGAAGATAACGGGAAAATCCCCAAAAGGTGCTACCGATAATCCCAGACCTAGGGAAGTATGCAAATTTAGCCATTATAAATTTGTGGTCCCTGAAAAAGAATGAAGATCAATCCATCACAAAATTTTTTCAACAAATAAAATAGGAGGGAAAACTTACAACTATAATGTCAGTTTTAATCTAATACCAAAGCCAAAGACCCCACAAGAAAACTACTGACCAATGTCCCTTATTAATACAGATACAAAGATCATAAACAAAATACTAATAAACAGATACCAGCAAGGAACAAAAAGATGTCACCACATCCAAAAGGAATTTGGCCAAGAATTCAGGCTTTGCATAACACTAAAAAAATCAATTAAAGTAGTGCATTATATTGATAGAATAAAAACAACTACATGATCATCTCAACAGATGGCAGAAAAACTTTTTACAAACTCCAACACACTTTATGATAAAATCATGTAGCAAACTGGAAGTAGAAGAGAAATTTCTCAACTTGACAAAGAACATCTATAAAAAACTACAACTAACACCATACTTAATGGGGTAACACAAAATGTTTCTTCTGTAAGACCAGGAACAAGATAAGAACATTTACTTTTGTTTTTAATCTTGAAGATTGTGTTTCTGTGGCCTCACCCATCCTAGGCAGACACTCTACCACTGAGCCAACTCCTTACCCTTAAGTTTCTTTTCCTTTCCTTTTCTTTTGCTCTCTCTCTCTCTCTCTCTCTCTCTACTGGAGGTTCTAGCAAGGCAGGTAAGTAAGTAAAAGAAAAAGTATCCACAATGGGAAGCAAAAAATAAAACTAACTCAAAAAATAAATAAATTAAAAATAAATAAATAAATAAATTAAATTAAATTAAATTAAAAAATAAAACTAACTCTATTGGGCACAGTGCCTGCCTGGCAAGCACTCAGCTCTGAATTTGATTTCTGGTAACAAACAAACAAACAAACAAACTACCTCTGTCACAGATGATATTATCTTATGATCTAGAAGGAATATACTAAGAAATCAGTCATTAGAACCAATAAACAAGTTCAGCAAAGTTGTGGAATACAAGATCAATATATAAGAACAAATTGTGTTTCCAACTAGCAATAAACAATCAAAAGTGAAAATTTAAAGCTATTCCAGGATGGGGGAGATAGCTCAGTGGTCTAAGCTCCTGCCTGACAAGCACAAGGACACTGGTTTGATCCCCAGTACCACGGCGTGCCGTGCCAGTCCCTGTGCTGTGCTGGACACTGAAGCTGGGCATAGTGGTACCTGTAATCCCAGCACTGGGGAGGCTGAGACAGGAGGATCACTACAAATCTGAGCCATGTAGAGAGACCCTGTACCAAATACATAAATAAATGATTAAAAATAAACTATCTCTAGCTAGGCCTAACCTGGGCAATTTAGTGACTTAGTGAAATCTTGTCTTACAATGCTAAAAAATATTAAGAAGTACTAGAGATGTAGATCAATGTGAGGGCCTGAGTTCAACCTCCAATACTGTAAAAGAAAGAAGGAAAGGAGAGAGAGAGAGAGAGAGAGAGAGAGAGAGAGAGAGAGAGAGAAATTCAAAATTTGTACATTGAAACCAATAAAATATCATTAAAGAAAATGAAGGAAGAAGTGGGAAGAGAGCTCATACTCACAGATTGAAAAACTTAATATTCTTATGATAGCAATATTTCCTGAACAGATATATAGATTTAAAGTTATCCTTGGCTTTTTTTTTTTTTTTCTTTTTTTTTGGCCAAAATCGATACACTGATCCTTAAATTCACACAGAAATGCAAGGGAGGCATAACAGCCAAAATAATCTTGAAGAGGAAGAGCAAAGTTGGGGGCCTCACATCTCCCAATTCCAAAACTTATTCAAGGGCCTGGGGATATAGCTCAGTGGTACAGCACCTGCCTGGCATGCACAAGGTTCTGAGTTTGATTCCTGGGACCAAAAAAAAAAAAAAAAAAAAAAAGGAAAACAAAAACTTATTGCAAAACCACAGTAATTACAACTATGAAGCACTGAAATAAAGGTAGCTATAAAGATAGTGGAATTTGAATTGTGAGTTCCTTCATAAACCCTTACATTTAAGCAGAATAAGACCTGCCCCCAACCCCTGAAAAGAGATCAGTTTTAATCCCTGGAATTCAGGACATTAGTTATGCCACAGGGAAAGGAGAAAGTAGGGGTGTTGATGTGCTGACTTTAAAAGAGATTTTCCTGGATTATCTGGTTGGATCCAGGGTAACTACAAGGCTCCTTAGAAGTTCAAAAAGGAGGCAGAAATGTTGGAAGTCAGAGGGAGATGTGACCGTGGGAGATGGGCATAGAGAGGTGGCAGTGCTGGCTTTGAAGCCATAGGAAGGGAGTACAAACCAAGGAATGCATATGTCTTCACCCATTTCTGTGGATTAACAAAATACTGTTCTGCCTGGATACTTCATAAAGAAAAGAGATTTATTTAGCTCATGGTTTTGGAGGCTGAAAGCTCAAGGTTGGGTGTTCAGTCAGTGGTGAAGGCATCATGGGAGGCATCATAACAGCAAAAGGACACGCAGAAAAGACTACAGGGTAACATGCAGGGGCCAAGCTTACTGGCCTAAACACTCATTTTTCACTAGAACCAACTCCATAGGATTAGCACTAATCTCTCCCCAGGGCGACACCCCATGACCTAATTGCCTCTGAAATCTTTCCCCATCTCAAAGGCACCAACCCTGGGACCAAGTTTCCAGTACATGACTCTTAGAGAACACACCCACACCATATCCAAACCATAGCCATGGGCAACTTCCAGAAACTGTTCAAAGGCGAGGAGATGGATGCTTCCTCAGAGCCATCAAAAAGGAACGCAGTCCTGCTGACATCATAGTTTTAGCCCAGGGAGATCTGTGTTAGACTTACACTCCTTAGGAACTGTACAATAATAAATTTGTGTTGTTTTAAATCATGAAGAGGGCCTGGGAGATAGCTCAGTAGAATAAGCACTTGCCTGGCAAGCACAGGGTCCTGAGTTCAATCCCCAGTACTGCAAAAATCAATGTATCACTCACTCACTCACTCACTCACTCACTCACTCACTCACTCAGAATCACCTAGTTTGTTAGGACAGCAACCAAGAAACTTATGCAATAGTTAACTAATATTGGACATATGTGGCAAGACATTTGAATGGGGAAAGAGTAGTCTTCTCAACAAGTGGTATTAGGTTATGAGTATTTCTGTTTAAGCTATTTCACCTTTGTTTTGAAATCTTTTCCTTTAAGGAGAAAATGTGACACTTGTGAAAAAGCTTGTAAGAAAGCCCCTTTTTCCTTTAAACCTTTAAATGACAAATCTAGGTGAAAAAAAAAAGTGGTATTAGGACAACTGAACATCTACATGCAAAAGAACACATACAAAAATTAACTCAAAATGAACCATAGATTGTTCAAGGAATAACTGCGGTAGGGTCTTACAGTAAGGAGAAGAGACAGGATTCAATTCTCAGTGTAGCAACTGGGAATTTATACCCAAGGAGTTGTGGGAGCCAGTAGAAGGAACATTATTTAGAGGAAACATCAGGAATGGAGCGTTCTGGTTAAACCAACCTACCAAGTTTCTTGCTGAAGACAGGCCAGCATGACCAGACATCAGTTAAGGGATGGTGGAGGCTGAGAAATCCTGATCAAATATAGAAGACGATTAGATAATAAGGATAGATGATTCTTGGCCAGATGAGGTGGTGTACCATAATCTCAGTACTCTTGGGGCTGAAGCAGGAGAATCAAACGTTCAAGCCCAAACTGGGAGCAGTGGGGCCTGCCTGTAATCTCAGCCCTCAGGAGGCTGAAGCAGGAGGAATGGCCATGAGTTTGAAGCTGGCCTGGGCTACATAATGATCTCAAGGCCAACCTGAGCTATATAGCAAGATTTTGTGCACACACACACACACACACACACACACACACACACAAGCAAGCCAGCAAGAAAGCAAGCTAGTTCAAGCCCAGCCTGGACAATTCAGTGACTTAGCAAGACCCTGCCTCAGAATTAAAAAAATAGAAAAGGGCTTGGGGTGTAGAAGCCTTGGGCTTAACCCTCAGTAGTGCATGTGTGTGTGTGCACACACACACACACACTAATAATAAATAAAATAAAAAATTTTGTGTATCAAAAGAGACCATCAAGAGTATAAAAACATAACCCACATAATCAGAGAAAATCTTTATTAAGTCATATATTTGATAAGGGGTATATTTCCAGAACATATCAGAAATATTTATAATTCAACATAAGACAAAATTTAAAAGATGGGCCAATGATTTAAATAGAAATGGCTTACTAGCACATGAAAAGATGCAAATTAGTTATTTGTAAAATGTAAACCAAAATCACAGTATGTACTACATCATTGTGGTGGTGGGGATTAAACCCAGAATCTTTCCACTGAGCCACATCCCCAGACCTTTTTAAAATTCTGAAACAGAGTCTCAATAAATCACCAAACTGTCCATTCTGGGCTTCAACTTGTGATCCCCCCACCTCAGCCTCCATAGTAGTGGGATTACAGACGAATGCTACCCCACCTGGCAGTAGTACAACCAGTCTGGGAGAGTTGGGTAGTTCTAATGTGGTTTATATTCATCATTTGATTTAACAATTTTACTCCCAGTATCCACTTAAGATAAATAAAAACAATGGACAGAGGAAGTGGTACCAGCTGTAAATTATCTGGGTAGGGATAATAGGTCCTAAAGGAAAACTGAGGCATTCAATAGTCTTTGCCTGCTTCACAGTTTTGTCAAAGACCAGCCTTCACATCAACCCCGAGAGAAGGCCCCAATACCTCAAGGATGAGATTCTATGATGTCAGCAACTGACCTCTGTGACACAGGCATTCCACACCAGAGAGCGCCACCCTAGGAAATGGGGCCCTCAGCTCCCACTGGGGGTAGCAACGCTGTGCTGCCCCGTAGACAAAGCCTCAGTCTCCCGCAGGCTTGTAGCAGCTGATCCCACTGCTGTTGTGGCTGCTGGCTGTGCTAAACCATCTTAGTCAGGGCCTGGCTGATCTGGAGAGGACATCAGCATTAGGGAGGACAAGGGGTCAGGGAACCAGTGACAGAAATCCAAGATGTTTGAGGAATCTCTGGGTCAGGATTAGGAGAAGGCCAAACACCAGTCACACAGAGGACTTCTGGCTGGCTGCGGGAGGACTAGGGCAATATTCAGGTAGGATCCTGGGTCAGGGTGAGCGCAGGGTGTAGAGTAGGGGTAGAGGGAGGGACAGCCATGGGTTGATGGCTCTGTTCTTCTCTCTCCCAGGTCCCCTCTTCACTAAGCGCCTTGTGAAAAAAGGCCCAGAGGAATCCTCAATGGTAAGAACTCTTAGTACCAGAACCCCACTCCCCTTCCTGTCTCTGTCTCCATTGCAAAACCCTCCTCTAACTCCATTCTTTTCTCCTTCTCCATTCTCACCTTTCCTGGAACTTTTGCCAGCTTTTCTGACCCAAAAGAGAAAAAGCTCTGGAGTTCAGAGAGTTTGTTCTGAAACTGGGCACCCAACACAGGGCCAGAGGTGGACTGCTCCTCTTACACCATGTCCCCTGTCTCTCTCTCTCTGCAGGTCTCATGGGCTGTGTCTTCCTCGAAGTACCCTTAGTTCCCAAAGGGCAATTCTGACTCTCCATTCTTATGTATTTTTCATCAATGGCTGACTACAAAGATGTGAGAAACCAGACTTAGGCTGAGCCTACAACCCGAGCACTCCGAGGGCCTTGGGCTGCAAGGCGGGCACTTCCTTGGCCTACTGCCACCACCAGTAGCAACAACGGCCTGGAGCCACACAGTTCCCAGAAGGCTAACTGGATGCTCAGCCACCACTGGTCCCTGAGATCTGAGTCCCAACTCTGCTAAACCCTCATTTTGTTGCCCAATCCCTTTTGGATTCAAGGCAATGTTGCCTCAAAACCAGGATCAGGTGCTACTACTGAACACATTTCCTCCTGAGTGTCCCCCTTGGAGTGTCTCACAATTTGCGGACTCTCATCACCCCAACCTCCAGCCTTGGTCTCTGAGTCAATCCCTCCCTTCTTCCCACCCACCTTTCTCATCTTCCCCACAATCCCATCTGTCCTCCTCACCTCCACAGCCCCACTCGTCCAGCCCTCATTTTTACTCTTGTGATGCCAATTCTGACTTAGCTCCACACCCCTATTCCTCCTCTCTCCCAAGTCCCCCCACTTTTTTCCACCAGAGCTACCCTTACCTCTCCCTTCCACATTCCTCTTCTCCCTGGAACAACTACTGGCTGTACCCAACTCCTCCACTTACCCAGCCCTCATCATCTTCCCAGCCACAGAACTCCTTTCCCGGATCCCACTGCCAATCCCCTTCCTGCCCTCAAGACCTCCCTAGCTCAAGGCTCACATCTACCAGTCCTGCCCTTACATCTCTAGGAGTCCACTCTAACAGGCAGGCATGGCATGGGTACAGGGGAACCAGGTCCCCTGTGGTGGTAGTGGGATGCAATGCAAAGGAGAGGAATCCTGCAGAGTTCAAGGACCCAGGGGACCTGGCCCAGATCCTGGTGGCCCAGCTAGGGCTTCGACGCATAGCGCGCGACCTGCGACTACTGCTTTTGCAGCACTTGTGGCTTGGCAGAACCGGTCAGGCTCCAGTTGTGGAGTATCCTATATGCCTTGTGTGCCTCCAGCCCCGAAGTCCTTCTTGTCCAATCCCCAGGTACAGTACTGTACCCCAGCTGCTTGCCTTCCCTCGACTACTGCCCTGTGCTCCCGACCAAGAATCTGGGCCACTCCGAATAGGCATCGGCTTCGGCCTCCGCCTGCCCCTGGGCGAGGCCAGGGCCTTGAATCTGTTCCCAAAAAGAAGACAGGAGGAAGTAGGGTCTTGGGGCAAGGATACTCAGCCCCCTCAGGGTCAAGTACCTATAGCCCAGGCCCCAGGGGCTCAGGCCCAGGCAGATCCAGCCCCAGGCACACCTTTCCCATCCAGGAGCCACAGGTCTGCACATCTTCAAACACCAAACTCCACCCAAAGGTTAGGGCCTCCACCTCAGGCCCCAAAGCAAGCCTCCCTAAGTCCCAGGCCTTCTCGAGTCCCAAACTGGCCTGGCTGGCCAGAGTCTTTTCTCCAAAAGTTCCCATCCTAGTTCCAGAGCTACGGAGGATCCCTGGAATTCCCCATCCAAACCCCAGGCTCTCCAGCAAACCCCAGATCTCAGGGACCCCCCGAGACACCTTGAAGGGCTGGCTGGCTGAAGGTCAAGTATGCTCTCCTGTCCTGAACCCTGGAAACCCCCTTTGGAGTCTTCTTTCTCCTAGTTGAAGTAGACTAAGGGCACCAGAGGCCCCATTCAGTCTTCATTGTACTCAATAAAGCCTGACCCTGAAAAACTTGTGTCTGTGTCCTGCTGAACCCGCAGAATTTATGGCTACATCTACAAAGGTGCTAATCCCAACAAGGCCCTGGTGTGGCTCTCTGAAGAAACAGAGGGGCTTAGGACAGCAGCCACTGTGTATCCAGTAACAGGCAAGGAATCCACAGGGTCCTAGGACCTGAGGTGCACAATAGCTTGCTCAGGTCTTTCATGGTTTAATTCAATTATGTGTCCTCAAAGATGAAGCTACAGGGCCTTAGGCTAGTGAAAATGCTGCAGCCCATGTGTTCCTACACAGAATTTCTAGTGATTTTTTCCCATGGGATCAAGGAGACCAAACAGATCAGAAACTCTCAGGTCCCCAAGTACACTGTAGGGTGCCGGGCACAAAAGACAACCATCAGGGAACTCAAGGTGCTTCATAGGATGTCAGAAGGTAGTGGCTGCCATAAGTTGCCTTTGCTCATGTGGAGATATGAAACAACTAGAAAGAAATGGTGGACTCCACCAACAGAAGGATAGGTGGTAAGGTGGAGTGTGGTTTCCTCATACTGTTAAAAAAAATTAGCTTATGAGTCAGGCAGCTAGCTAGTGGAAGGGCCTGATAGGAGTTGGGGAACAGCCATAATGATACAAATGTAGACAGTGAACTAGGACTTTGCACAAAGAATAAACTTACTCAGGCTGTGGTAGATCACCACTAAAGAATTGAGCAATTCCTGTGCTTTGTTTATAATTAGCTCTGAATGGGGGTGTGGGTGCAGCCACTCATCTGGGACCCCTCCTGAAAGTCCATGAGCTGTTTATTTGCAATAAAAAACTCTTTTCCCTCACTCCTTTGGCTCTGGACTTCTTAGCAGAACCACAAATCTGGTAGGGTATCATACAGGATTAGGAAACTGAACCTGGGATTTGACGCTAGGTTCACTTTGAATCCATGCTGCCTTAAGAGCTGCAGGCTGTGCTGGGTATGTGGCATTGGGCCAATCAGTTCCTCTCAGGTATAAAGGCTGCCCTTTTATTAGTTGGCTTATAGCTCCTGAGTGGGGGCAACTCTTATTTTAGGATTTATTAAATGTTTATGGAAGTCGGACTTGATTGCACAAGCCTGTAGTCTGCGAGGTTGAGACAGACAGGAGGATCGCAAGTTCAAGTCCCGTATGGCCAATTCAGCAAATAAGGGGATGGGGTACTGGGAATGTGCGATCCCCAGTACTGAAAAATAATTTAAAAAGGGGCTGTGGTTGCAGGCCAGTGTGAAAGGCCCTGCGTTACACGTACCCTTCAACAGTTTCTACTAGCTCCACCTCCCTTGCCCCGCACACAGAGGGCGTGTCTGACGTCACAAAGGGCGGAGAACCGGATTCAGCGCCCGGTCTCCGTGGCCGGCTAGTGCTGACGCGATGCGGCATACTGCGCCTGCGCAGAGAGCCGCGAGGAGGAAGCGCGTGCGCTCTGCGCACCTTGGAAACCAAGTCAGATAGCTTGGGGCTGAAACGCCGGTGTCTCCCGGTGGTTGGAGTTGTGGCAAGCCAGTAGGCGTGCAAGAGGTCCCGGCGGCGACAAGACAAGTTCAGCAGCGGCTGGGGCAGTGAACGCGCGGCGGGCGGGATGGGCCGCCGCCAGGCTCTGGAGCTGTACCGGGCCCCATTCCCTCTGTACGCGCTTCGGCTGGACCCCAGCGCGGGGCTGCTTATCGTAGCGGGTGGAGGAGGCGCCGCCAAGACCGGCATAAAAAATGGAGTGGTGAGTGTGCAGGGCCACCGGGGCCAGGTAACTGCGCGGGCGGAGGGCGATTCCGGGGTGACTTGGAGGTGCAGGGGTGAGCCGCACCCCAGCTTCGGGTCCTGCCTATTGCCAATAAGGAAGAGCCGGCATCCTGGGTGCTCGGATTTGAGGAACTCCAAAGATAGAGTTGCACAGCGGCTGCTTAGGAACCCCTAAACTCGGCCTCGAGAGCAGTTCTAGGGGGCTTGTCCTGCTCTCTTCCGGGAGGCACATACTGTTCTGTCTGCCCCCTAGCAGTGGTGAGTGGTACATTGGGCCCTTGGGCTAGGTTCTTTACCTGTTCCCAGCTTCCTCTTTTCAGTCTATAAACCGGAGGGTAATAATTCCTGCTGGCTGTATAGACTGGGGCACAAGACAGCCCTATGAACTGTAAGGTACAGAAAGCTAAGGGATAAAGCGTCTGACTAGGAAGTGAGGGTGCCTAGACCTTCCTGCACCCCTGAACTTTGCCTGTCCTGGTTGTCTCTCCCACAGCATTTTCTGCAGCTAGAGCAGATTGACGGGTGCCTGAGCGCCTCCTTGCTGCACTCCCATGACACAGAAACACGGGCCACCATGAACCTGGCACTGGCTGGTGATATCCTTGCTGCAGGGCAGGATGCTCACTGTCGGCTCTTCCGCTTCAGGGTCCATGCGCAGAAGGGCAACAAGGCAGAGAAGGCAGGTGAGAAGCCTAGGGAAAGGGTTAATGAGTAAGATCATTTGCTTTGGTCTAAAGAAGTGGAACTGGAAGTGGGGTTAGGGAGGCAGCCACAAACTGGATATACAAGGATCAATACTACTTAATGTGGAAGACGGGATCCTGGCAACCTGTTTGTATTGCAGGTTCCAAGGAGCAGGGGCCTCGACCAAGAAAGGGGGCAGCCCCAGCAAAGAAAGGGGGAACTGAAACCCAGCACGAGGGGGTAGAGCTCAAAGTAGAAAATCTGCAGGCGATACAGACAGATTTCGGCCTGCAGAAAGACATACTGCAGAAAGTTGTATGCTTCAACCCTGATAATACTCTGATTGCCACTGGAGGGACAGATGGCCATATTCGTGTCTGGAAGGTATGGTTTTAGGGGTCAGACCACATCCTTATGGTTTTAAGGATGATTGTTAATACAAAAAGTCTGAAAATGTAAGAAACTGAATTTGAGTTCTGGGAAAGTTGTGATTGGCCATTAGATGACAAAAGAGGTGTGGGGATTACAGCGCTCTTGCTGCAGTCCTGGTCTCACCATGGTGCATGGCGGTGGCTTGGTTGTAGGTACCCACCCTAGAGAAAGTTCTGGAGTTCAAAGCCCATGAAGATGAGATTGAAGACCTGGCTTTGGGGCCTGATGGCAAGGTGAGGAGGTGGGTTATAGAAAGGGGGTGCAGAAGAGGAAAAAGGAGTTGTTTATATTGTCTGTGTAATAGATAGATTTTCTAACTGTCTGTCTTTGGAATCTTTATTCCTGACTAGTTGGTAACTACGGGCCGGGACTGTAAGGCTTTTGTGTGGCAGAAGGATCAGCTAGTAACACAGTTGCACTGGCAAGAGAACGGACCCACCCTTTCTAACACACCTTACCGCTACCGGGCCTGCAGGTATGAAGACCCATGGGGTGGTTAAGAGAGGCATGTCCCAGCTGGGGAGGGCAGTGGGAAAAGATTAGGGGAGAGTGGGCTAGGGAGGGCTGTGGTCTTGTTGGTGTTATCTCAGGCCTAACCAGGGTGCAGCAGGACAGAAGCCCATGAGGAAGGCTGGGCAGACCCTGGAACTGAATAGTCCATTGCCTGGCCCCCAGGTTTGGGCAGGTTCCAGACCAGCCCACTGGGCTGCGACTCTTCACAGTGCAGATCCCCCACAAGCACCTGCAGCAGCACCCACCCTGCTACCTCACAGCCTGGGATGGTTCCACTTTCTTGCCCCTTCGGACTAAGTCCTGTGGCCATGAAGTCATCTCCTGCCTCAATGTCAGGTATGAGACAGTACGGGTTTGGCTGGGTAAAGGGTATCTGGGGGAGCTTGGGAAAGAATCCTGCCCAAGTCCTGAGGACAGCTGTTGGTAAGTGAAGGTGGCTGCTCAGGCCTCTAGGACAGTGAATACTTTGTTGTTTGTTGCAGTGAATCGGGCACCTTCCTAGGCCTGGGCACGATCACTGGCTCTGTTGCCATCTACATAGCTTTCTCTCTCCAGGTAATGGGTGGAGGTGGGCACAGCCCTGTGGGAGGCCTGCTCTACCCTGTGTGTACAGGAGTCTGGCCCAGCCTATAGGGCAAGCCTGCTGGGGTGCAGAGCATGTTTCCAAAAAGTTTCCAATTGGGCTTTCCCTTACTAGTTTCCTTTCTGTCCCCAGCGCCTATATTATGTGAGGGAGTCTCACAGCTTTGTGGTGACGGATGTGGCCTTTCTACCTGAGAAGGGTCGTGGACCAGCACTTCTTGGGTCCCATGAAACCGCCTTGTTCTCTGTGGCTGCGGACAGTCGTTGCCAGCTGCACCTGCTGCCCTCACGGCGTGAGTAATTGGGGTAGGGTGTCCCCACCTTTAGCTATAGCAAACACCTAAAAGGACAGAGGTCAGGTCACAGACATTCCTCTCCCCCCTCCTTGAACAGATTGGGTTGAGGTCTCTGGTCTTCAAGGCTGTAAAGCCCCTTTCTCGCTCACTTCCTTTTCCCCATCTGCAGGGAGCGTTCCTGTGTGGCTGCTGCTCTTACTATGTGTCGGGCTTATCTTTGTGACCATCCTGCTGCTCCAGAGTGCCTTTCCGGGTTTTCTTTAGCCTTCCTGCTCTCTGGAAATCACGTCTGGACACTGCCATCGTCTAGCAGGGAGCAGAGGCCTGGACTCTTACTGCTCACTCCATTTGGGCCCACAGCTGAGGATGCCTCTGATGATGGGCACTGCTTGCCCTTCTCAGTTACACCTTGGGTGTGGCACTACATGACTGTGGGTCCTGGGAGCCCTGTGTTCACACCTGCGGATCCACCCGAGACAGTGGCGTTCGGAGTTCAAACCACACCACCTGCCCCCTCTTGGCCTACCAGAGGCTCCAAAGCTGAGCATGTCCTCCAGAAACATGCCCAAGAGTCTGTCATTCCTGCAGAAACAATCAGTTTAGTTTCTCTTCCTTTTTTCACAGTCTTCACATGAAGCACCTGGCTTTTGTTGGGGTAAGAACTGGTGTGGCACTTGCTGTTAGGGCTTAAAAGGGACCAGAAAGAAGACTCAGGCAGTAATCTGTGGGTTCGGATGGGTAGTAGCAGGCCAGCCAGGCTAAATATGCTCTAAGTTTCTAGATCACTATCCCAGACTGGAGGAAAGAGAAAATGAATCTCAGCCCATTAGGCAGGAAGGGTTGATATTTAATAAACAAGGGAAGACTGAACTGAGACCCCAGATGGTACACTTGTCAGCTCTTTCTGTCCCCAGAGGCAAGCACCTCGAAGTCAAGCAGTTCCTCTGGGTGCTGGAAGATGGCTTTGGCATACTGGTGCAAGAGGCGGCTCATGTAACAGTGCTGCCAGGGCAGCAGTCCTTCGAGGAAGCCGATGTGGCCACCCCGAGCTGTGATAAGCAGTGCGACATGGGAAGAGTGTTGGGCAGCCTGTAGGGGAAAGGCTGGGAGGGGGTCAGACAGGCGGACAGAAACTCAGCCCCAGATAGGAGCCCACTTTCTTCTCAACTTGTGCCCCATGGCCCACTTTCCTGGGGCCAGGGCCTCCTGATTCAGGGAACTCACCATGGACAGGGGAGAAGGGGTCATCTGCTGCATTGAGGCAGAGCACAGGGAGCCGGATGGCATCTACCTTGTTTTTAGGGCTTGCTGCTTGGTAGTAAGCAACCCAGTCTTGATACCCGAAGGCTACAGATGTGTAGCGTGCATCAAGCTGGCGGATTGTGCGGGCCTGTGTGGTAGAGGTAGTGCAGTCTAAGATAATAAGATAGTGGGACACTAATACTGGGCCAGGGAGATGGTGAAAGAGCATACCTGTAGGACAAAGTCTACATCTACCAACTTTTCAAGCATTTTTCTGTTTCTGGAAGAAAGGACATCAAGGTTTGTCTTGACTCCTGCATCTGACCCAAAGCCCACAGCCTATCCTACTTCATGTGTGAGACGGTACCAGATCACTGGGAGAAGCTACCCACTTCCACTAGCCAAGACCCACCCTACCTGGCCACAAACCGGCAGAGCCCAGCAGTGACGGGCTGGTTGAAGAGCAGCAAGTTCAGGGTGGTCTCCAGGGAGCGGGACGTCTCAAAGGAATCCCAGCATGCAGACAGAGTCAGTCCTGCCAGCAGGCCTGCGGCCTTTCCAGTCTGTGCCAGGTAGTTGAGCAACAGTATCCTACAGAATTGGATGAGAAGCCATGAGAGAAGGGTAAATAATTCAGAAGTAGAAGAGGACCTGGAGGACCAAAGAGAGGAGCCCTGGGCTCTGGGTTAAGCCTGGGCAACTATTACCCTCCAAAAGAGATGCCCACAGCCAGCAGTGGCGCTTGAGGGTAGCGGCGCTTTATGTGGTTCACAACCATCTCTAGATCTTCAGTATAGCTGGCACAATAAGCCCTGTGGGTCTAAGGGCAAATGGGATCACTGGACAGAGGGAGGCCATTGCCAGAAGGAGGAAAATGCAAGGGTTCAGGAGGTGGTGGGGAAGGGGAGGAAGCGAAAGTACACAGGTAAAGCCCCAGGGTCAGGATCTCTATGGGGAGTGGGTACTCACCAGCAGCTCTTCCCCACGGCAGCCTCGGTTATTAAATACAACAGCCCTGGGGCACACACAGGTGTATCAGTCAGGCCCCCCCACAAGCCCTGCTTTTGATAATTGTCAGACCCCTATCAAAAGACTCCCTAAAGTATGTATCGGGATCAAATTCTCCACCTTACAAGTTCTCAGGCAACTCAACCCCCACCGCCGTGCCCCTGGGCTGAGCCCATTCTTACCTGTACCCATCCCTCAAAGCTTGGTCAACCAGGTGCAAGATGTATGACTCTTGGCTATTGCCACTAATGCCAGGAAGCAGCAACACAATGGGCTGAGTGCTAGGGTCAGGGTAGCGATTGTTGTTGGACTGTTCAGCCCAGTCTAGTAGGAACTGGCCTCCATCTGGGGTTTGGAGGACTTCACTGTGGTTTGGGGGAAAGGAGCACATAATGATAGTATTAGGAATTTGATATACTTCAAGGGTTCACCTCCTGCCTCACCCATACTCCAGTCCTGCAACTTACCATCATCAGCGTCTGAAGACGTGTTTTATGTGCAATAGGAGGGCTGACAAGGTGGAATGGGGCATGAGGTTATTACCTCATGGGCGTGCAATTAGATAGCCCCTTAGTATACCCAGTCTTTGTGCCTTCAGCACACTGAGGTAGATGGGGCAAGGACTACCTTCACTTGTAAAAGAAAATCAGTTTTCCCTACTTGGAGTTTCACATTCACCCGTTCTGTCCCTTCTTACCTCTGGTAAGGGACTAGTGGCTTAGACTGCACAAAGACACGAAAGATGGTTTGCAGCCGTCCCTCAAAACACCATAGTGTGGGGTAGAAAGTCTCCACAGTGAGGGGACAGTGTTGCTTCAGGAACCTCAGAAACTGGGGTCCAGCCACCAGGCAAGGGCTCTGTAATCACACAGTGCAATCTGCCTCAGTCCCAATTTGGCTAGTGAGACACCCAATGCCAAAGGCTAAAAGACTACTCCCCTTCCCAGAGGCAGGAAGAGACAGCGTTCAGCACAACTCGGTCTGGAATGGCCAGGACACCTCTGATAATAGTCTGCTAGAGCCACAAAAATCTCCACTTCTGGAGTGTCACCCTTCTAGAATTGATTGGGCACTGCCTCCCCTTCTTAACCTGTCCCTGCCCCAGAACTGTCTGGGAGATAGCACGCCATAGAAACTGTCCTGGAGGAAGGGCTGAGCTCTGGGCAAGGGCTGAAGAAATGCAGCAGCATTCAACCTGCGAGTTTTGTCTTACAGATGAATTACCTACACTGTCATCTTTCTGAGACTCTCTGGCTTCTCCTGATACAAGTACCCTGCTGTCTGCATATTCCCATTGTTCCATACTGTGTGCTCACTGCTGAAAGGCTTTCTACCTGGGTACCTCATTTTATCCTACATACAGGGCCCCTGCTGTTAGACCATGCTGTACAGGAAGACTAGTCCTGATGTGAACAGACTTCTTCACGCCAACTAGGGGAAGGGTAAGAGTGATGGCTTAACAGGAACAGATGAGGTCAGTAGGCACAGAGCCCAGACTCTGAACTTCTCTGCTTGCTTCTGGATTGACATCCAGTGAAAGAGGACCTAGGTGTGGAGCATGCAAGTCAGAGGGCCACAGGCTGGAGAACAGAAATTACATAGCTGAGGAACTTGAGGACCAGATTATCTTTTCTTCCGGAAACTCCAAAGGAGCTGAATAACAGAGGCCAAGTTAATAATGTGACCATTGGGCAATGTGCCCTGTACCCTGATCTTTAAACCCTGGGATAACAGCATGTATGCTGCAAGCAGTTACTAGGCTAAGCCCAACATTAGGAGGTGAGGTACAATACCAAAATTGTGACTATTAGAGGTCAACTAGCTTGCCCAAAGCCACACAAAAGCAAGCAAGACAGGCAAGGTAGAATTACTAATTCTATCACCAGTAATCCTTTTTTTTTTTTGCAGTTCTAAATATACGTTTAAATGAACAAACAAAAAGTAATAGTAATGCTGTGTTTTGTTCCAATGCTGCAGCCTCAGTCAGAAATGAGAGCAGCGACGTCTGCAGACTGAACAAGCCCCATGTTCCGAGGGGAGGGTGTACCAGCCCCACACACCACCAGTAATCCTTATAGAAAAATGTGTGCTTGCTGTGTTCTGGACATTGGGCTGAACACATAGTCTACTGAGATGGCCTATGACCCCTCAGTGTGAGTGGGATGGAATACTGAATAACTTGTTGAATAGCACAAAGCCTCCCACAGCTTGTGTGCAGCAGAGCTGAAAACTCAAACCCAGGTCTGTCTGACTCTAACACTGTCATTTAGTCACTGTATTCTATTGCCTTCTAACAGCCAAGATGTTGAGTTCCTATAAGTTTATTCTGGATCACACAGCTCAGTAGCATACAAGGCTAATGAATTAGTGCCTAGGTGTGGTTTATGGGAGAAATTACCTTCATGCACTTCTATTCTAGCAAAGTGTTCTCCACTCACTCCTGAGCATTAAGTAGTAATACACTATTGGCTGCTGTGATTCAATCAGTATTTTTTTTTTATTTTTTTTATTTTTATTTTTTTATTTGAGAGAGAGAGAGAGAGTGGTATGTGTGTGTGTGGCCAGCTCAGCCCACC